TAGCACCACAAAGGAAAACAATATTTATAAAAAAATCGATTACATGAAGATATATTAGCCCAGATTGTACCTTTCAATAGTCAACTTCAAAGTAACTTGATTGATGTTTGCCTGTTAATTAAGTTTGTTAGTCAGGTCCATACCAGTGTCACTTCTTAACTTCAAACGAAGCTGATCTGCCACCTTCAAACCAATACCAACCTGAAACATAAATACCAAAGAAATAAATACAAATTTATTATCAAACCTTTTTTTAGAATACATGTGTAGATACTAAATAATGACTTCTTTTACTTAAAAATAACAAGATTTTTCCAATTTTCAATTTTGACTCTATATGTCCTTCATACTCAACAATTTAACAAAACCACATATAGGTGAACAAATTCTTCCAAAAGACTGCAACAACTCAATTCATTTTCAAAAGAAAATAACCACACAGGGGATCAATCTAAAACAAAATCAAAAGTTCCACCATGTAAGTACATCAATCTGATCACCCTCCTATACCACCTGAAGGCAAGTGATAGAACATAAATTTTGATTAAGTAAATAGGACTGAAACCATAAACCATAACTGTAAGTTTGATTCAACTTTAACAAGTAGAAACACTGCTAACCAGATTTTTCATTGAGGATTTTTGTCGAGCAGCTGGTGTTCAAATAAAAAAAAAGCACAAAGAACATAAAGTTGTATTCCACAATTGAATTCCTATTCTAATAACAAAGGTCAAATCCAAATAAACAGTAAATTAACAAAACAAATGGTGGAAGTAAGAATGAAAAAACTCACTTGTCTCTTAATCATGCAAAAACGAAAGGAATTTCATGGATAGGTATTACTCTGATTAGTCTAAGAAGTATTCTTGATGTTTCTTCTCCGTCTTGAAGCCCCGTCAATGGCTGAGTCGGAGTTTGTTGGCCACCGATTTTCTTCTCCACGCTTATAGCGAAATAAAATGACGAAATTTCTATTGAAATTGACGAGAAATCAGAAGCAAAGAGAAAGGCACCTGATTTGATTTTAGAGAATGGAAGTGAAAGCGTATACACAAAGGTGGTCGTTGTTAACAGGGAAGACAAAGAGGGAATGGCGGTGGGGGTTCTATGTCTGTCGCCTTCGATTGTTTCCCTTTTCTCCGTATATCATACCGCCTCAGATTGCTTCGATTTCAAAATCCAGACCCAAGTAAGCCAGGGTTTTTTTTCCAATTGAAAGGCACACAACGGAACTAAAGTTCCCTAAAAACCCCTAGGATGCGTTTTTTAGGGCAATAAAAAACGGAGGGTGAGGGGAGATCGAGATAGGCATGAAGACCAAATCGAGATAGGCGGAAGGATTTTTTTTGGGTGGGGGGGGGGGGAATCGGTAGGAATGAATGTTTTTGTTTAAAAATTTTGAAAGATATAAAATTTAAAATATGAAGATGAAATCGAGAGGGGCGGCAATAGGTTTTTTTTTTAAGGAAAATGAATATTTTATTTTAAAAAGTTCCAAAAAAATTAAAAGATTTCACATTTAGAAAAATAAAATAAAACATATCCTAATAAAAAATTTTGGGTCAAAAGTTAAGAAAAACAAATAAAGTTTAATACTCCCTCCGTCCCAAAAAGGAAACATGGACTATTATTTTGAGACGGAAAGAGTAGTTAATAATTTTCATTACCTTTTATATAAAAAAATCGAAGTTCTAATGAATTACTCTTAAATTTTTAAATATTTTAAAATTTGATTAATGATAGTAAACTAGGAATAACTCTAAAGCAAATACTTAAGTTGGCGATGCAGGGGTTGAGGTGGTGTAGGGGTATTTGTGTTGACGTAAAGTGGGTGGGTAGGGTCGGATATGGGTATGGGTATGGGATGGTAGGGGTTGGTGGATGAGTATATACATGTGAGTTTCATGGTATGGGTCGGATATGTGTAAAGTAGGTGTATATGTGGGTGGGTGGTGTAGGTTATATATGGTGAGGGTGGCATGTGGGTGTGAATATAGGGCGAGGTGGGTGGTATCGGTGTAGGTGGGGGTAAAGTTAGGTGAATTAGTGGGTGTGTGTGAGGTGGGGATGTAGGAATGTGCCTTAAGCCTAAACCTATAAGACATGAGACCTAATCCATAATCCATAAGCCCTAAGTCATAAGTCATAAGCCATAAGCCATAAGCCAAACATCATACACCACAAGCTATAAGTTATAAGTCTTAAGCCTTAAGTCATAAGTCTCGAGACATAAACCATAAGCCATAAGCCATAAGCCATAAACATTAAGTTATAAGTCATATATAAGCCACAATCCTTTATCTATAAGACACAAGCCATAAGTTATAATCCTTAAGCCCTAAAACATAAGTTGTACGCCTTAATCCTACAATCTCTAACACCCACCTAACCCACCATAAGGCATAGGGCTTAATGCTTGGTATATGCTTAGTGCTTAGGGCTTTATGCGTAGTGCTTATGGATTCGGGCTTATATGGTAGTTCTGAAGGCTTGGGTCTTATGAAATACATGCACATATACATATATGCACATACACATACACAAATGCATAAACTCTAAGATATACCCTGTAAACCCTAAGCCTTACACCATATGACATAATCCCTAAGGCTTAAGCCATAAGCATAAGGCTTTAGCCCTAATACATAAATCATCATACTTAATCCATGCACCTTAATCATCAAGTAATGTGACTTAAGTTATAATCCCTAATCCATATGTCGTAAGCCATAAGCCAAAAGCCCTAAGCCTAAGTCCTACAACCTATTCCGTAAGCCATGAGTATTAATCTATAAGTGATACATCATAAGCCATGATATATAAGCCCAAAGACGTAATTCCTAAGCCCTAAACCATGTGAGGGAATATAGAGCAAATATAACACCTAAATAGTTTACTAGGGTCACTAACGCGAATCTTAGATTATTAAGATTGTCAAAGCTTAGTGAAATTAGTTAAATATTGAATTTTACGTAGCGTTCGACTATTGTGGCGATAATAATTCGAGTAGTTCCTTACTTCAGCCGATAGGGAGGATGTTCGTTCGCATAGTCAAAATAGGGCCTAAATTCTCTTATTTATTTTCTTCTTTCTCCTTTCTCGGCCCAACAATATATATAATATATATATATATATATATATAATATATATATATATATATATATATATATATATATATATATATATGGCAAAAGTGAATATAAAGCTGTTAGGTATGTAAGTATACATATAGAACACATCAAAACTATGTAGTTTTGATTAAATCTTACATAATAATAGAAGATTATTCATGTTCTACATTTTCTCCTAATTTTTCTCCAAGTCATTCGTCTCTTTCCTGCATTCACTCCACCTAATTGCGTCAGTTTTTTTTACTATATTTTTGTTAAATGCTTTCAAATGACCAAATACAACATAAATAAACATCTTCACGAAGTTAAACTATGTGTATCTTCTTTCGTTTGAAATATTCTATTCATGAATAAATAACAAAACTATATTAACAATTTTTGAATATAAAATTGTTTTCAGACTTCATCATATTATTGTTTAAAATTGTTTTCAGACTTCATCATATTATTGTTTCTTTATTGCTTTTTGTTGTGCTGCAAAGCAACTGTTTGTAGATATGAAAAATCATGATTCACAAAAAGTTGTTTATAACTTCGATATACCCAGTTACATATGAAGACATATATATTACAAAATAAAGATGGTTGAAATAGATTTTGAGGTCGTGGACAATACGTTCGCAAATGAAAAAAAATAGATGAGGTTTTTACCATTTGGTTGTAAAATTAAGGAAAAACTAAATAATTAATATATGAATTTCACATAATATGAAGGTAATTTAAATGATTTTAATGGAAACTACGTAGTTTTATCAAGTTCTATATCTAAACTTGTATATATGACAGCCATATATTCACCAAGCCCTATATATATATATATAGATTATCTATATATATATTATATATATATATATATATATATATATATAAAAGGGAAAGAAATGTGGAGAGGGCTAGAATTCTGCCACCTCCATATTATTTAGCATATAAACATGCATATTACCCCACAAATATTGAGTCAACTAACCAATTAACCACTAAGTAAAGACTACACTTCTCACTCTTGTCTCTCACTCTATCTCTCGGCCTATCTCTCACTCTCCAACCTCTCTCTCATTTCAAACTCAACCCATATTCTCTCAACTCTTCTCCATCCTTCATCTCTCAAAGAAATCGTGGATTAAGGGAGATCTTCAAAGAATCACTTCAAGCTTCATATTTGTGGTGAGATATTACAAACCCAAGTGATATACTTCATCTTTAAACTTATTCACTCGTCTTACACTCATGTTTTCGTGAATCATGCTCTTAGAACAGCTTAGAGCCTTAAAATCATCTCAATAACACATCTAGGGCCGAGATCTCTTCATTTCTTCATCAAAAACCGAAATCTTCAAACAAGGTGAGTTTATACCCCTTTATTTTCGGTTTTATATGTTTTTTGGGGGAGAATAAAAGTTGCTATATGATAGATCTCGAAAACTCTAACAAAAATGGGTGAGATTTGAAAACTAAAACAATCTAAGCAACATCCTACAAAAATGAAAGTGTTAAACATGTCTAAGATGTTGAAAAACTAAATAAAATCGTGTATAAGGATCATTTTTGACAAATAAACAAAAGTTGTGACATTTGTGACTTTAAATCATTCCCGAGTTTGTTTTTGTAAAATATCAAACCAAAAGAATTTCTTTTTGTAATGAATTAAACCAAAAGGGATTATTTTTGATCTTTTAAAACAACATAAGGACCATTTTGTAAAGACTAAGTCCAATAGGATTTGCCTTGAAAGCATTTATGTCAAAGGTGTCAGTTTTAATTTAAAGTATTAAACACGGGAACTGTTTTGCCACATTCCCCAAATATACCAAAGGAGACGTCATGTTCTTCTGATCAGGGAAGAGGAACGGACTGCCAAAAGAAACGCGAATGAAACAGTCATACGCCTCTCATCTGTCGAGCGGAGGGAAAAGGAAATCGAAGGCGGCAACAGGTGGCTCGGTGGAGGAGACCAATAGCAAAGAGGAGGGAAGAAGAAGTCCGTCAAAAATGGCGATCCATCTTTGGTCTTCGTGATTCTGTCGCCGACAGCAACAACTCGAAAAAGAAATTAGAACAAGCAACAACGATTTGGTTTGGGGTCGTGCTTTTTCGAAAGTAGCTGGGGTGTTTGGCTGAGATCGGTGAACAGGAAGGGAAGGATGTGAAAGTAGAAAAGCGGCTCGGTGGTGGCTGTTGTCAACAGCGCTGGTGGCGGAGCATAGTGGCAGTGGGCGTTCTCTGGTGAACCCTCGTGGGTTCCTTTCTCGTCACAGGTTAGTCAAATGGGAAAAGAAACAACACTAATAGGGTGTGTTTGGTGTGATGTCTTCTTGATTGCAGGGAAATCTCCACTTGTGGTGGAGGTTTGGGTTGATTCCATTGATAGGTAAGACACAAGAAAGAAAACGGGGATGCTGCCCATCTTGGTTTCGCCGGAAACTGCCACCCACCATCGGTGGTCCTTGGCAGGAAATGATGAAGATGAAAGGAGGGGTTGATGCTTCTTCATTGGCCAAAACAGTCCATGAATCAGAAAAGAGAAGAGAAATAAAGAAGGATTTTGGGTTTTTGTGGTGTGATACATTTGTTTTCAATTTCCAAATTTGGTATTCACCATACATTATAGATTTACTTTGGACTGGATGAAGGTTGTAAGAAAAGTCTTTGAGTGCCAATTTGGTCAAGGTGAAACTTGAAATCAACATACTTGGTTGTCAAATTTTATTTATTGTTGTACTTTGAGGTAATTTTAGAAGCAGTGTATTGCTTTAATTATTAATATGTATTTGTGTATGTAGAAACATGTATTTGGTGTATTATTGAGTGATGTGGTAAAAAATGTGAGTGTAGATGCTATAGTCATATTGCTAGTAATTTAAAATCATTTATGATCGACTCAAAGTGCCAAAAGTACAATGTCATATTTGGAATATCTAAAATGGTGATATTTTCTAACTTTCTCGATTCGTGTGCTCTCGATCCGGATATAATTTTTTTTTTTTGAAAATGACAAATGATAATCTTGGTTATAAGATTTCCCAAAAGTCAGAAGGATATTAAATCCGATAAGTAGAACTTCAGGAAAACCCGTTTAAAGTTTCGCGATTTGTATGATCGGATTCGGAAAAAATTTCAAATCTGATTTTGGTCGAGACTAAAAATGTGATAAAATTATAATAAAATAATATAATGTAGTCTGAGTTCAAAAACGTGCTCAAAAACAGTTTACGAGATTCGAAGCTATTCAAACGAAACAGGGCACGGTTCATTTAAAAAAAATCAGATAAATACTGATTTTTATAATATTAAAGAGTCGTAACTTTCTCATACGACATCCGTTTTGGTCGTTCTTTATATCCACGAAATCAGGAGAACATACTCTATTCAAATATCTTATCCATAATTCTCAGATATATCTGATGCAAAAATTATTTTTTTAACGTCACCAATAAATTTATTTTTTGTAATTTTCGATTTGATGTTCAATGATAGAAGGTTCGAGCAGTTTGAGATGTTCTAAAAGTAATTATAAATATAATATCTATAGTATACTTTATAAACATAAAATTACACACAATTGATATTTATTGCATAACGGTTCGCGGTGGTTTGACTGCCGAACTGTAACCAATTTTACCAGTTGTTACAATTTTTTAACTTAAGGCATACACTAGTACAAAAAGAATGACCATTATATAATAATAGTCACATATTCAATGACCATACTATAATTATATTGAACATACATTATTTTACTTATATAACTAGACTTATCTATAGACACATATAATAATTGTAACCATAACTAAATGCTACTTACAGTCACAATATTTGTTTTTTTCAAAGCTAATTCACCATATTTTGACATACATAATAAAATGCACATAACCATAAACCACTAAAAGTAATGTGTTTTCTTGTTTTGACTAAGTCACTAGTAAACACTTTTCTATGGACACATAAATATTTAATGTGATCATGTGTATCACATGTTAGCTACATTAGATTTCATGTGTCTAAAATATGCACCATGATACAGAAACATGTACAATTGCCTCACGTGACCATATACTTATCTATTGTCTCTTATAAAAAAATATCACAACATTAATCAATACACGTGGTTGATATCAAAGATAAATATGGTCAAATTTAAGAGTCTTCCAAATACAATAGTACAACCAGAATAAACATTACATAATTATCAGAACATATTCAATGAACGACCCTAATTATACCGATAAGACATTATTGTTCTTTTATAACTATATTTACATATAGACACATATAATAGTTGTAATCATCACTAAATGCTACCTACAAACAAAATATTTGTTTCTTCTCAAAGCCAATTCATAATATTTTGACACACATAATAAAAGGTACATGACCATAAGTAACATATTCAATGAACGACCCCTAATTATACCGATAAGACATTATTGTTCTTTTATAACTATATTTACATATAGACACATATAATAGTTGTAATCATAACTAAATGTTACCTACACACACAATATTTGTTTCTTCTTAAAGCCAATTCATAATATTTTGACACACATAATAAAAGGTACATGACCATAAGTAACCAATACTAACTTGTTTTATTTTCTTGCGTTAACTAAGTAAAACTAGTACAGAACCGCCCTATGGACACATAAATATTTAGTGTGACCATATGTATCACCTTTTAGCTACTTTGTCTGTTATGTGGCTATAAAGGCACCAGGTTATAGACACACATAGAACTAACTCATGTCACGATACGTTTATCTACTGTCTCTCATAAAAATGTATGACAATCTTAATCGATAGCTGTGGCTGATTGTGACCTATGGCCTCAATGGTCGAGTGTGACTAATATTTGTCACATTTGGTATAATTAAGTGTGGTTAAAGTTTTTAATGGCCACTAAAACTAATTTAAATGTATCCAAAAACAGTCTCTAAATTTTTTTAGTGACCTTTGGCCACACTTTTAATAAAAAGTGTCACATGCCGTTTTTCGGAAAGTGTGACCGTAGGTCTTTTTTGTAGTAGTGAAACTCCATAAAGGGGTGAAATGTTGCCCTAATCACTTCCTAAGGCTTAGACTTGAAGTAGGAATGCTTCTTATGACTTATAAAGCTTCAAAACACAAAATGGTAGAAGTTCCATGAGTTTACAGCCGTAAACTCATAGGTTTACGACCGTAAACTCCAAGGGAGTTGGTCACAAAACCGTAAACTCCAATAGAGTGTACCCTTGGACCCTAAACTCAAATGCAAGGTCCTACAACCATTAGATGCAATCCTCAGTACTTATAACACTTAAATAAAGTGTTTTACATGTATTAGGATGTCTTAACTTGGTTAATTAGTTGTTTAATGACTAATTGGATACATATATGTGTTATTATATGTTAACTAGGATCCTTGTGTGTGTTCAAGTCTTCACTTGACACTTAGCATCCTATACCTTCCGTTCATCCAAACCAGTCACTACAGGTGAGTTCATACCCCTTAATCAACCTTTTAAATGATTTTAAATGCTTTTATGGGGGGGAGTACAAGTTGAACTATTATAGTTATTATATCAATCACATGTGATTAATAACTACCAAACAAGTGGATTTCTTACTTTTCAAACCGTGTTATCAAACAAACTACTTCAAACTGTTTTATTAAACTCCTTTACATGTCAAATACTTTTATTAAACTCTTTTAAACTGATATTATGTTAAATGTGTATCTATATAAATATAGTTATATAAGTAGAATTGAAAGGACTTAGGACTGATAGCTCACCTTACTTCCTGTTCCTTGTTTGGTTGTGGACTTAGGGTATTCAGGTTATTTGTCCGAAGGTCGTTTGAATCCTAGTTATATATTATGTATATGTATATAGATATAAAAGGTTACTTCTTTCTATTCAATACCTTTGGGTAGCAAAGGTATACACACATGTTCATACATTCAAACAACATTACTAGTAAGCTATAATAGGTATAGTTTAGGGAGATACTAATACTATTACTAGAACAGTGAAACATACAAAGAGTCAGTTCATACATGATTCAATAACATACAGATAGAGAATACTATGATGAGAAACAAACAATACCATACAGAGAGAACATACATATACATGCTAGACAGGCAGAGAACACACAATATAGCTGGCACATACATATACTAGAACATTACTACAGTTATGTGAGCCACGTAACGGGGCATGGCATCACCTGTCATGGCCCGTTTTGTATCCAGAATCTCCTTAAGTGGGGAGCGTTTGAGTTTGTGTATAGATCTATACTGGATTGACTATCCTACACCTTGCTGCTCGCTACAGTGGGACTTGCAAGTCTACGGGTGTCAAACGTCATTTCTTCCGACGTCTTACATCGTCGTTTTATAGTCGGTAGCAGGGTACAGGCCAATCACATGGTACTTTAAATAACAATTGGTTTAAGGTAGTTAGTACATCAATAGTTACTTAATACAACACTACAATACTATTTCATTTTCCCATTGCATTCACTTTGTGAACTTCACACAATGAACAGTAATGTAAAAACTATATTTTTGGTTAATGATAGTCAGATTTGGGAAAATACATACTCTTACAAGAGACACACATACAGACACTAGATGCCTTGGTAGAAGGCTACTTTTAGTAGGAAACATATGGTTTTCTAGGAGAGTTCAAACAATTACAAACTTTTACAAACTTATACATCTCATACTTACAAACACTTACATACAAACAATGACACTAAAATACTTATGATCTCACCAGCTTTAAAGCTGATAAACTCTTTCAAAATAACTTGTATTCTCAGGTCACCAGTAGATAGGTACCGGTGCCATGTTTTGAGAAGATGGAGCTCGTTCAAGACTCATCTTTTATTTTGATTCATGTTTTTAGTCTCTATTAAACTTGACAGAACACACTTGTATTAAAATATATTATTAATGCAATGGATGATGTTGTTGCTTGATTACTACTATGCACTGTTGTGATACTGTACATGACGTCCTCCACCCTCGAACGTTTCCGCCGTTCTGGTTTTGGGGTGTGACAATTGGGTTTTGTATACTACAACATCCTATGGTGCACATACAACCCTAGAAGCTTTGGATCTATGTTTTCACTAATTATACATGCAAGTGGTTTCCAAATCTTTAAGCCTACAACTAGCATACAAATGATATAAACTACATAAAATACTAGTTAGAAGTTTACCTCTTTGTGTAGCTTGTAGAACTTGATGAATTTGGCCTTAAAGAGCTTAGCCCCAATAGTGTGGAAGCCTCAAATGAAGTCACAACACATCATGGACAAAGGTGGAACTTGAGAGAGAATTTCATATACCAAAAAACACCCATGAACTCCAAGAACAAGCATGTAGGCGTGTTTTAGGTTAAGAGCGTGTATTTATATGTTAGATTTCAAGGGTCATGGGTATAACCCAAATCCATACCCATGGGTTTTATGATCCATGGTTCATGTGGCCCAACTCTTTATGTATCCATACATAAACTTGGTCCAACATGGATCATAAGCCCAACACATATAAATATAACTAATTATCATAATTAGTCCCCATATATTTAATTAGTCTCTTTTGATCACTAAGTTAATTCCAAATTAATTCTTGATCAATACTAATAAAACATATGATTTCATATTAATAAATTATAACTTATATGCAACCCAAATGGACCATGCTACTCTCGTGTCGAGTACATACCAATAATAGTTATGGGCTTAGACACCCAATCCAACAAGAAGAAGTTCCAATACTCTGAACAGCAGTAGGAGAATGAACATCACCGAGAATACACTTCCAATGTTCTTCATCAA